GTGGGATTAAGAGAGAAATCTCACCCAGAGTTAGAAATTATCTGGTAGCTGAGGGGAGAGTTCCTGTCCGGAACCGGGGTTGCAAAGCAGCTGACCACGAAGATCCGGAGTGGAACGTGGTTCAGTGTCTGCACGCTCGCCTCGACATGCAGAGTCTGGCCCAGCTGGTATACGGTGGAAGGTCGCGCCACACTCCAGTCGTCTTCATAAAAAAACACAATTAGACAACTTCAAAAACACAATTGCCAAGGCCGAGTGCAGACTAACAGCGCAGCCAGGAAAGTGCTTGCTCACGCCACTGCTTGTGGAAGAAACCAAGATAAAATCATGGGACCTCCTTTGCCAGTACCAAAATATGAGAATAGGTTTCCCTTTTTTCTGGCAACAGGTGTTAAAACAGCAAACTGAAACGTTTTACAAAGAATCATGTGCATTAACCACAAAATTTGTGGTCAGAATGCAAATAAAAAACTCGACAGAAAGCCGTCTGGTGTGGACCAGTTTCAAAGACAATGCATATATCAGTGTTTTGTTGCATTCTGACCAAGGATTGTGGTTAATGTAGACACGATTCCTTGTAAAAAAAGTTTCAGTTTGGCGTTTTAACATCTAAACACCTGGTGCCAAAAATGGGTAAACCTATTCTTAAACCTCGGATAAAGTTTAGGGACCTCGGGCATATATCTGGCCTATTCTTCAATACCAAGCACACATCTTGAAGGGTTTATAGTCTAAATTGCCATCCTGGTAGTAGCCATGTGCATAATAGGCAATCAACGTCCTCACATCACCACTGACCGGTCATGAGCCTCAGCGTGAAGCTCAGCTGCTGCTGCATAACCTTGGCGCTGCTGAAGGGGATCCATGTGGGTTTGATGGCATTGCTGGACACGTTCCCCTTCCTGCAGTCAGGAAGAGATCAGGCACACATTCTCGACAAACGAGCAGAGGTGGGCGATGCTCAACAGCACTAATTGTGACCAGATTCTTATTGCAATGCTGTTAATATCATCTTACAACGAGTAGACAAGCGAAGAGATACAGAACCATATTTTCAGAGTATATTTAACATCGCAACTTGCAAGACTTTTATCCGACGAGGACCAAATAAGAGTAAGTAGAAGACTTGGGGGAATGGAGTATAATCAAGGGGACCGTGGTTCACGCAGTATGCAATGCATGCACCACTTCAGGCGTGGACACTTGCAAGGCTGGATGTTTGAGGCAGGCCACGACAGGCGTTTGATGTGAACCCATCAGTAAAGTTGCCACTAAAAACCCCCACGACAGACAGCACAGGGAGACTTTCCATCGGTGGATTAACTCGCTGACATTGGCTTTATTGCAATTCAGGCCTCGCAAAGCTAAAGCACACGAAACGGCACGTATTTTTAAAGACAGTGGTAGAATTGTAAACAGTTTAGCTGGACTTCAAAATTAAGCAAATGTCAACAAGAGACTGCTGGTGAACTCGCCTGGGATAGCGGCAAACGACCGGCACGGCGACGTAGTTTGTGCGGATAATGCCCGTGTTGGACGTGGGGCGGTAGTAGAGGTAGTTCTCGTAAGACAGCAGCTCTGCACTCATCTAAGAAGGGAGGAAGACGTGGGGTTTATTACCTATTGCAATACTAGCGGAATTTAAAAAAAAAGCTCAAACACCTTGGTGAAAGACCCAATGCAGCTGTTCCTTGGTTTAAATAATTCACCTAGCTCATGTCACCCATAAAAACACCCACACAAACCATGGCAAATGCAGATTCCCAATGTATTATGGAAGAATAAAAACGCTCTAATGTACGACTGGTCAACCAGAACGGACCTTTACACAATAATGCAATGACCGATCTACAAATACCAAGGGGATTTCAAAGCGATACACCCCGCTGTTATTGAAGAAGTCTGGCTTGACTCGAATGCGGAATTGTAATTCTTCTGCATCTACACTCGGCAAAAACATAAAGCAGTTGGATTGCGCAGATTATGTTACAGCAGCAAGTTACCTGGAGGCTGCTGCCACAGCTTTCCAGTGCGTAGAGGAACGTCACCGTCCCAGCAAGGGCGTCGCTCCCAGTGACGGGGCAGGCTGGCACTCCCAGGGACAGGTCACTCGCCTGGGCCAGGTGACCCGTGCCGAACAGGTCCCTGCTCACGGTCAGCGTGAGCGTCGCCTCGTCACACACCACACTCACCGTGGCGGAGGTGGCCACTGCAGCTGGCGGTGCCGCACGGGACGAGACGCGAGAGTTACCCAAACAGTGACACAGGTGGTCAGTGAAGCCGTAGAAAGTCTCAGAGCTCGAGTCAATCATCCACACGGAGCTGCTAATACAAGAGTTCGAATTCCCCAGTAGCACCTCAATAAATGTATACACGCGTCACGACAGGTTAAGAATACGTTTTGGCAATCCACTACTGGATCAAGTCTCGCACATTGCGGTCGTCAGTTTGACCATACAGATCAGTACGGGCTGAATTAGGGCAAAGCCCAGGTCTAGACACATCTCGCCAATGTTAACATTACCAGGACGCAAATTCAGGTATAGAACAGTGAATTAACCACCACGCCACACTACCAAGCCCATCGTTAGTACGTGTATATTATGGTGTTCACATTAGTAAACACGGCAGTTACATTACACGACAAATAAACACGTTTGTAAAATAATCTTTCGACCAAACTCCACTCACCAGAGGCAAGACATAACAACCCCAAGACCGAAAACAAAGCCCTCGTGATCTCCATCGCAAGGACAACAAAAACCGAGACTTAGCACGGCACCAGCAGAGCCAACGCAGCTACTGTCCCGACTCGGGGCTTTTATCTGCGCGCGGCCTCATTCAGTTTCAGTAATGAGCCAATTAACTCCTCCTGCGTACGTGCCGCGTGATTGCGGTGCAGCTCCTATCCATGCACGTGCGCCGAGATCGAGCAAACCTCTACTGATGAGACAATGAGTGAGTGGATCTGCTCTGATAAAATCTCGCTGATGAGACAATGCGTGGGTGGATCTGATCCAATCTGGATCGGGATCGCTGAGGGCTCTCCATATAAAAGGGGTCCATGGCCTAAGGAAGTGACGCAGCCGATGATTTGTTTTACGATGGCGGCTCTGCGAGTTCTTCTCCTGCTCCTGACCAGGTGAGGAGGCGGAGGGGCGTGCTGAGTGGTGTTCAGGGATGTTACTCAACAGCTCTGGATAATGAAGTCTTGTGTACGTTTGTAAGAGAGGGCGTTTCCATATCGCTTTGGGTAACTGACCTGCATGGAGAAATGCATTGAGATAAAAATGTGGAAATGCGGTCCTGAAATGTCTCGCTTGCCCCATTGTGGGTGGTGGGGTTCCAAAGGTGGCTTTGCGTGGCGCTGTTTACACCAACGCCTTCGTGCACCGTGCTGGCCTGGTGCTCCCTAAAATCGCTACTGGCCACTTTTTTGTGGGGGGGGCGGGGGGTGCGGTGTTTGCCTCTCTCCTCCCCTGCGTTCTCTCGTCTTGGTGGTCACGTGTCTCGTACTTCCCGCAGCTTCCTCTGCCTGGGCTCCGTCCACGCGAGGCTTCGCCAGTCGCTGGGACCGCGGACGCTGGGGGAGGCCGAGTGGTAGGGGGCGCTGCTGCTGCTGCTCGCCACATGACAACCACATCGCGCATTCTCTCACTACTGCTATCGTGTGCATGGACACCGCCATGCACAAGACTATAATGGCGGCGTCTCTCGTGAACTGGAAAAGCGTTACCGGCGTCACGAGTTGCCAACAAGAGCGCTGCCTGGACGAGATGGGGGGGGGGGGTGAATTGTTGTGCGCCTGCCGTTGGAGCGGTCACGTGACGCGACGTGATGGCGGCGGCTGGGCATAGGCCGGCATGTGGGTAATTAATAATCCTCCAGCGCATGGAAAAGGGGGCGTTTGGGACATTAACTCTCCCTTGCACGTTCCTTTTTTACGATAATAACGCTTTCGAAAAATATGGCTGGTGACTGATTGGCACGGCCCTTGCAACTTTACTTAATATAGTGAATTGTACAACATTTGACTGCGCAGGACTATACGTAACACTCGCGTGCAAAATCATCATGACCTTGTTCCTTTCCATTTAGTAACAACGAACTGTGCACTCGCGTTGATAATTTGCATATCAGGCTCTACCTTGGCAGCTTTCCTACTATTTCAAGAGTCTAATGCAGGGTCTACTACCAAAATATCATGTTTCAACCAGCGGCTTCGAAGCTGCAGGCTGACGATCCCTGGTGTGAGGTTCATACTGTCGAGTCGTGCACGTGCCTTTTGACTTTGCGCCAAATAAGCAACCGTCGCGGGCTGTGTTTTTTAATTGCTCAAGGTGTAGTTGATCTTGACGTCTCAAATTCTGAACTGCCTCCCCCAGGTCTGCTGAAGCAATGCATCTCCTCCACCCTGGGTTTTTCTGTGGGATGGAGCAGCTCTTCTCGCAGTGACTACCGTGTCTTTGTACGGAGTGAGTCCACGAGCTTTCACTTAAATCGTGATGACACAATTGACTATCTTGATCCATTGTATGATTGCCTATATGACGCTTCTCAAGGATATTATCGAAATTGATTCGGGGCTGAGATTCTCTGCCCAGTTGTTTGATCCCAACTGCTTCATTTTCGATGCGTTCTGACCTCTGCAGTTTCTTATTCGGTGTCGCTTTTTAGGTTTTTTGGTTCACTCTGCGTTGTGAAATGTAATTGTTATGAACGATGGGAAATTTAAGAATCTTGGATTCAAAGCATGATATTGTTTTGGGTTCATTTCAACTAGTCTAATACAGCAGCAGACAATCAACCCTTATTTTTCCATAGGATAAATGCGTGTGTTTGACTGGGTTTTTTACCCTTTTATCTGGCAATAAAACTGACACCATTTTTACAAGGAGTCATGTTTGCATTGACCACAATACCTGCAGTCGGAATGCAAACAAAAACATAACTCTGATAATGTATGCACTAATCTTGAAATTGATTGGTCCACACCCGAGATGGCTTTCCTTAGAGCCAATTGTCATATTTTGCTACTGGCAAACGAGGTTCCAATGGCGCATGTGTTTACTAAAGAGTTGAATCCCTTATTTATCAATGCCTCCTTTTTACTTGCATACGCAATGGGCTCTCCCTTCCTTTCATTGGAACATTTCATGCAAGGTGGTACCTTCTGTTATAAACTGAACCTGGTGACTCCTGTCAGACTCTGGTTCTCTACTCGCATCGTCTGCATTTCCCACGAGTCCTCCGTTGTCGACTTGGGCGCTCTTGTCGCTAAATCTGACACGCAGCTATTAGACGAAGTCGTTGTGCAGGTTTGGGAGTACCGTATTCCAACAGTGTATTGAGGATCCTGTGTCCTAGAGACGTTCCTGGTACTGTGGAGACTTCCTATTCGCGTTGACGCTGACGCCATACGTTGTTGTTCTCCTTGCAGTCACGCTGCCCACATGAACTTGTGGTGCGCAATCCATCCAAATGCAGGTTTTTCTAACTTTGTTCTTGATGTCTCCAGCGGTGCGGAATGAGGCCGTGGATGTGGAGTCTGTGCAGGGGGAGTGCGGCTTCTCCATCGCGAGGGACGGTGCTGCGCTCCACTTCACCGCTGCTGGTGATGCCTGCCACGTGCGCGTGGAGGTGAACACGAGGAGACCGTTGTGACTTGCGTCGATGCTAGTACCCGCTGGACTGCTGTGATAGTAGCGAAATTGTTGTTTCGCAATCCATAACCGATCGGCCATCACGTGCCATCGATATTGTCTGGCCAGAATCGAATTTGATTTTGTCTACTCTGGTATTTTCCCTTCCACGTTTGTTTTAGCTCGTGCATTTATTTTTAAAGTTCAAAGATCTTTTTTTAGCTCATGCCGTCCACTCTGGAATTTGTTTTCAGATGGTTTGCATTGCCTTTTCAATTTATTCCTACAATATATTATTTCGATCATCTCTCGGTGGTTAATTCTAGTTTATACAGCAGCTCTTTCTCTTGACTGGTATCCCTGGACAATCGATGCAATGCTCATGTCTTATCAAGATTTTGCCATCTTTGTCTTTTTATCAGTTAACCTTGGTTTGCACTTGCCATTTGTGGTGTTCATTGTAGTATGCCATGTCGCTACATTACTCTTTAAGCCAATCCTAAGAATCCTTTCTTGCACATGGCCTTGCCTCATTGCATTGCTTTTTTGTCTTTAGTCTCCGTCTAGTCAGTCTTATCTCCAGCATAATTGTTCTCTTTCCTGTGCTTAACGGTAAAGGATTTGCCATCTAGACGTCCATGTCACCAAAGTGGCCACCTTAATAAAGGCAATGTGTGAACGGTTAATTCTTGCATCACAAAACAAGCTTTCAGTTTGTGTATTTCACGCCTGCCAATGGATGCAGCTTTCGCGATACTATTCCATGCAAGGAAGAGAATCGGAGCAGTTTGATGCTTGGTATAGAATAAACGGCACTATTGCTACAGAAGGTCACTATCCAAGCTGACAATATTGCACACAGGACTTGGACATGTGTGATCTACAACAGCAAAATGTAAGTGGCAGACCTAACCAACATACGAGCTTTGTGCCAGAAATATATGCACTACTTGAGGTTGCTTGCACAAGACATAAAAGTGAAACCAATAATAAATGTGTTTGCCACCCAATGGGCTAATTGCCCAGGGATCGCGATTCCCTTGTGAAGGGTGGTAATTTGTGGGAAGAGTAATGGCGGTTTTGTGGCAAGCTGAATATGGAAACTGTATTACACACGCAGCAGCGCAGCATCCGTTTGTACAATAACAAAGGTTAACCTGGGAAAGTGATTTCGGACCCAGGAATGCAACCCCCACGTGCGGGTCTGCCTGTCTTAATTTGGGTAGTAGGTGGTGGCGGGTTTCCTATTTGACAGTTTTACTTGTCATTAGCCTGGCCTCGCCCAACAATGTCGAATGCACGAAATCTACTGATTGTTTTGAGCTTCCTGGAGCACTGGCCCCGAGTCCGATGTTGAGGGCTGCTGATTTCACCAGGACGGCAGGAGGAAGATCCAGGTGGAGCTGCAGGAGATGCGGCAGGGGCTGAATGGACTCGTCTGGGCTTTGACCATCGACTGCCCTGAGAACCTAAGATCGGCGAGGGCTGGAGGTGAGTACCATTGATTTGACTCTGCTAATCGGACCCACAGACTGCACTACCTGTGACTTGGTGCTCTAGAATGGGTCTGCTGGGTCAACGGCTGCATTTTGTTTCGACCCAGATCTCTCCTGGTGCTTTTGCAATTGTGCACTTGCGTTTCATGCCCTTGGTTTTTACTGGACAAACTTGCAGCTTGAATCCTTTTCCGATGCAATTTCCCCCAGTGGCTGATTGCAATAGTTGCACCGTATAAACGCGTTTTCCTAATGCACTGCTGGTTGGTGCTGTCCTAGGTCTTGAGGGTTAATTTGACCATGCTTCACCACGCTGCTCCTTGTTGGAAAAGTTGAGTGGCACTGACCTGCAATGCAACAAATTGTGCTGCACTGCCAGAGCCTTTTACAGCCAGTGAGCAACGTGTTTGCCCATCTTTGTACACTCAACCCTGCTCCGCTTCTGAGATTGCGTGCATTGCCCGGTGATTTGGTCATGTGCCAAGTAACACACCTTCACATACATGACACGTGGCTCAAACGATGACTTTATTTAAGTACGTGTGGGGTTTTGTACGATGACCTGTTGTGCTCCTGCTGTTTTAGAGATCGCCACGTGCTCTGGTCAGAGCAGGAACTTCCCATGCAACTCTGTGCAGAGTGTCCCGAGCGCGGACGTCTGTGCACAGAGTGGCTGCTGCTACGACCCCACTCTACGCCGCTGCTTCTACAGTGAAGCTGGTACGTAGCTGACTCAAAACAGATTCCATAATTCACTACCTAAACTAGGCTCTTACTGCGAGGTTCAATGTTGGCACAGTAGCATCCTGCTGTGCTGGTTCTCTGAACTTGTTCCATCGCCGAACTCTCCATTACCCTCCCACCATGCTCCACCCAGTGTGCACCACAGATGGGCGCTTTGTGGTGCCCGTGTCTCGGAACCTAACGTCTCCGCCGCTGGACCTGAGCACCGTGCATCTGACTGGCAGTAGCAGTGCGCAGTGCAGCCCCGTGCTGGTGTCTGCAGACCTTGCAGTCTTTGACGTACCCATGGCAGCGTGTGGTGCCACTGTGCAGGTAATGGGCTCCTGGACTCTGCTTTGCCCTGCCCCATCCTGATGGTTGTTGTTTGACCTTGTTGACGTGCTGCATCGGACCTTTCACGATGCACAACTCCTTGATGTGCAGAGCACAATCATGCACGACTTGATAAAGAACAGCAGGGTCACTTTATGATTGAGTGTCAAATGAATCGAGTGCTAAAGCAGAATTTAGGGGGATCCTAACATAACGTGTAGCTAATTTTGAGCAATTTGGACTCCTGGCCAGTACCACTTATCATTCTTCTACTTGATCGCTCAATGGCATTATCGTTTTGTGTGAACTACTTTTTGGTGTGTCCAGTGGAGTGGGCAGGAGCTCGTGTACGAGTTAATGTTGGTCTCCGAGCGGGAGCTCTGCGTCGATGGAAGCGTCGCCATCACCAAGTCGTCCACATACAAGTAAGCATTGCAAGTGCTGTGCTCATGAGGGTCAAGCATGAGTCTTGCAGAGGAGACCCACCCCCATAAATGGCCACTGTCCCTGCGACATTAAATATTTGTAGCATATGCCTGCAGAACCGTGACCAATTTGTGCTTCCATATTCAACTGTTAATTTATTAAATTGGGACATTCAAGGCACAAGGGCGACTTTTCCTCGTCACAGGATCTTTTACATCTTGAAGTAGTAGGAATATGGTTTATGGCTAATGTAAACACGGTATTAACCAACGTGGGATCCCTTCACTGGTACATCTGCAAAACACCCTATCGGTCTGCTCTGTCCCTCTTGCAATCTCTTGCTGCCGTGAGGGCGTTGTGCATGCCTTTGGCTGGTGGTGTCTGTTTTACCAGGATGGTTCTTCAATGCCGCTTCCTTGGAAGTGGAGACCTGCAGCTTGGAGTGCAGGTGAGCACTCTTCCACCGCCACCTCCAGCCACGGCCACTGGGCCCCTCTCCCTGCTGCTCCAGGTCTTCACTGGTGAGTGCTGCTCTCTGACACCCTGTGCAGCTCTGAGCGGACAAATGCCACTTGAACACGGGTTGTGATGTCGCTCTACCCAGGGACGACTTGGGTCTGTATTAGCTCTGACTCGAAGCCAGCTGAAAGTCATTATTTTAGCCATTGCTCGGCTCGGAGCTCGACCCTGGTTTAATTTCCACTGATTGCAGGCTGCATGCGATTTTTGAACGCATCTGCAGCATTAATCGGCATGGCTGCTGGACTTGAACTGCAAACCACCGCAACAAACGGATGACGTGCTAGGCTGTGCTGCCAGTGTTGTGAACCTGCCAACATAGTTCATAATTAGCCATAAGGGAACTAGAACGACTTGCACATTCGCCATGGTACGACGTGTAACTTAAAATGCTATTTTCTGCTGAGGTTTTGAATCTAGCAGCTATTGGCTTAATCATGTTGGTGTGGGGCCGATATTGAACGGGATGACAATGCCCCTATCAATCAAAACGGTCTCCTTGAGGGCATTGTTTACAGGGCAATTGGACTGGCTTTCTTAGCCTCATTTGTCAGATCACAATTGCTTGAACGAATGGTTGTCAATCGCTTCATTGGTTACCAATTGACTAGAGCTTGGCCAACTGTTAGCAACCGATTCCCACCCCTCCGTGTGAAACCGTGCCCCTTACAGCATCTAGACATTTAGAGATGCCGTTGTATGTAGGTGAGGGTCACAGAATTTTATTCTAAAAATACAAATAAAATATAAACCACGATTTTTATGCCAGGAACATGTTGATGTGCACTAGTTCAATTCAAAAGTAATGCGCACGTTTTAGGGATTTGTGCTTTGCCTTGTCCAATGTGCTCTAAACAGGACCTTACACCACTAATCCACATGCCTTGTGAACCATGTCTGCACGCTGCCAGACAACTCCTACACCACGCCGTACCAGCCCTGGCAGTACCCGCTCGTAACGCTTGCTGGGAACGCCGCTCTACGTGCAGGCGTCGCTGCTGCACCGCTCTGACCCCACGCTGGTGCTCTTCCTGAAGGACTGCTGGGCCACGCCCACGACAGATGCCACCGACCCCACGCAGTGGAAGCTTGTGGTGGATGGGTGAGGCTGGGCGGGGTAGTGCTCTCTCACTGCCACAGCAGGGCCTGCAGAGGCAACCTGGTTTGAGCCATTGGTTTCTTTTTCTTCTCCCATGTAAGCAGAGCTGTGCTAATTACGTCCCCATGCAATGACAACGGTTCGTGTAATGGTGACTATCAAGTATTGGCGTCTAAGCAAGATTGCAGTGCCATTTCCAAATGTCGATGGCCACTGCTCCTTGGGTTCTGGATGTTAACACAGCCACCCTCTGCCTCCTAGAGATGGTGGTTTGTTGAAGGCCCGACTACATGCAGTGATGGTTGCATTGCACAGATGCACTGCACATTGGCATTTGGGCTGCCTTGCTAGTCGTGAGCATGTCTTGACTAAAGCTGACCTTCATCCTTGCGTGCAGATTTAAATAAGGATGCGTGCTTTGAATTGAGGGTAAACGGCACTTTTTCCTGTGCAGCTGCCCCGTGCAGTCTCCTTGTTGCAGTGTGTTCTTCCCTGGTGTCGCTGACCTGCCACTGCCTTCTCACTACAAGCGTCTGGCACTCCAGGCCTTCGCCTTCATGAACTCTGACCGCAGCACCACCCGTGACCTCGTGAGTGCCCGATTCTTTCCTCCCATTAAAAACCAGGTCACCATGGAGGGATGACGTGTACAACTGGAGGGCAAAAGGACTACCTAAAAACATGGGAACCTTTACTTACCGGAGCGATGCATTCTGTCTGCCACAGGTTTACCTGCACTGTTCTATCGTGGTGTGCGACAGCTCCAGCCCCAACTTCCTCACCGAGTGCAATCGGCAGTGTGGACAGACGAGGCGCTACAGTGAGCAGCACCACCGCGACCTATTGACTATATTGTGCTTGTTTACCCAAAGCCTCGCAAAGTAACGATTTGTCAAGAGGACGAAGGGTTTAATGTTACTATGTTATCGTTTATATTTAGAGTGCATTTGCTGTGACCTTTGCAGACTGTTTCACAACCCGTGGCATGCCATAATTACCTACTCGTTTGATTTTCTGGGGAACTTGACCTGCAGCATATGATGTCCTTTCTGTATGGGCCAGTGGTCATCAACCGATTTCTGTTCTTGTTCCAGAGCGCAACGCCATCTCTGACGCTTCCAGCGTGGTAGGAAAGCACGTGGTGTCGCTGCAGGGCCCCGTGCTCTTTGAAGAAGCTCCTGTTAACGACGCTGCTCTGCTGTTGCTGGAGGCTCCCTCTTCATCGTGGGCCTCGGCTGGGACTCTGTCCATTCTCCTCGTCATTGCCACAGCCGTCATTGCTCTCCTGTCTGCTGCCATTGCCGTCAGGAGGCGCAGGAGCCGGGCTGTGGCGCTCGACGGGAGGGCTATTGATGACTACTTGTAATTGCTGGAACTTGCATGTCTTGCTGACCATTGTCAAAAATTAAATTCTGAAATTCGCTACCGCTGTTCTGACCTTTACGAGATGTGTGTGTGTGCAATATGTAGGCAGTATTAGTGCTGCATTTGGCCACGTTTCTTCCCCAAGGCAAGTCCATCGATAGCAGTAACTGGTACCAAGGTTTAGGCCATTGGCTTCTTCAAACAATAGCACCTTGCCATGCTTAAATAATCTGAATCCAGATTTTATTTAAGCTTTTCCCCTAAAACAAGCAAACGGTGTACATGTACCAGGAACATTTCCCATCACACAATAGCAAACTTTCAAAGGTACATCAAGAATGTGGGGCACGGGGGGAGAAACGGAATACTGAACGTTAACTAGCTTAAAGTAAAGGTTGGGTTGTGGCATGACAAAGCATCTGTCCACATTGTCAAAAGTGCTCTTCCCCTGGAAAAGAACCACCTCACAACACTATGGAGGCCTGACTATAGACATTCTTTGTGGCCTTGTGCACGAGTGGCTTGGTGCTTCAGACCCTGGGTTATGATGCAGTGACGACGCGTCCGTCTCTAGCTGCATTGGGGTGATTCCTGGAGAAACTCTACCTCGACTCGGTTCCTCTGGTTCACTCCTTGGAGATGGCCACCACACATGCTGATCGCCATGAGTCTCCCGTCCACAACTGCCTGAACTCTGGGAACTGGGTGAAACCATCTGCCTGGAAAACTCGGCTGTTAGGAAGACCGTTTGCATCAAACACGACCTGGAAATCATTGCCCCCCCTCCCTGAACATGGCCTCCCTTCTACCTGAAAAGTAAACCTGAATAGAGTTTGTCTTAAACTCTCTCGCACTGAAGGACCCAGTGCTCTATTTTTTGGGGGCGATTTGAATGTTCCTTCTAAGTCGTACCTGTTAAAATTAGAAAATACACGCACCACTTGCCTACTTGACCTATAGCCTGAAACATCATAGTATAAAATTACTTTGTCCTGAACTGATAACATTTGTAATATTAATGTCTATGGCACCCATATACGCACTCCCTCTTTGCATTTGAACGTCATTTTGTCCGACTTCCTTATAACGCTTTAAACACTTGGGTTGACATTTCAACAAGGTACACAGAGCCAACAAACTAAGCCCCCGAATGAACACTCGCCATTTGTTTGTATCCTTGGTCCAATATAAACTTGGTAAATCAACCTACAATGTACGTTGATCTTAATGATAACTGAACCACAACGCGCACATGCGTGGTTGCCTCGAGCAATGCAAACGGTTGATTGGTGTTGACGAGAGGTTCTCTGGCGCTAAAGACTTGGTGGCCATTTTGTTAACGAGAAAAACTGCTATGAAAAAAGTGGCAGCATTGTGGCCTGTAAAACAAGGAGCTGCGGCTCTCAACAGCAACCAATCGATGAAGGCAGTTTGGCAGCACGGGCTGAGTAAACTGCAGAGCAGCCTGCATCAAGACAAGCCGGAGACTGCACCGTTAATGTTGCAAAAGCACAGGCTGAGGATAATCCTGGACAGCGTGCACAATTACTTTTGCAGCACGGGCTAAGAAAAAACGTTTTAGCTCGTTTGGAAGGCTTTTTGGTGCTTTGCGCCTCGTCTGTTGCCTCCACTGATGTCCTCTTCCCACCCCCCCCCCTTGAAATCTGCAGTCACTACTATAGTCGGTAGATGCTACTATAGTTACTAGACCTCTCTTTCTCTTGGCTGTCCATAGAAAAAGATGGCGATTGCTCCTCTTGTGGGTGGGCTAGCACTTTTGGCGTTAGTGCCACTTCATGTGGCTGTGGATGCCAATGCGACAGCCGCACACTATGCTTGCAGATCGGACACGTGTGTTGGGTCTCGGATGGCGTTATTCCAGCTGTGCGTTGGTGTCTCTGGGTGCATCTTTCGCATCTCCACTGTGAGATGGCGTCTTTCATGTGCTAAACCCGTGTGGCACAGGTGGACCACCAGGTGGAGGGAGTTGTGTGCAAGGCTTGTGATGGCAGCAAGGAGCATGTTGAATATCACTGGAGCCAGAACAGAGCCTTGCTTGACCCCGACCTCCACGTTGAAGAGCTCTGATTGAAGTCCACCAAGCACCACTCTGGCATGCATTCCTTCATGGAACTGTTTTAGAATTCTTTGACACTTGGGAAGTACCCCAAGTTTGAGCTGCTGCCAGAGTATCTCGCGGTTGATGGTGTCGGATGCTTTGAGGTCGATAAAAGCTATTAAGAGGTCTTTGTTTTGATCCCGGCATTTTTCCTGCAGTTGCTGTGGCACAAAGATCATGTCGGTGGTGCTTCTGCCTTTCCTGAAGCCCCACTGGGATTCTGGGAGGATGTTTTCAGATTTCTGCTCTGCGAGCCAGTAGTGCATTATCCTGGCAAGGACCTTCCCTTCGTCAGAAATAAGTGAGATACCTCTGCTGTTGCCGCAAGCCTCTTTGTCACCCTTCTTCTTGTAGATAGCTACAATATTCGCGTCCTTCCATTCCTGTGGACAGCCAGATGGACTTGATGAGAAGTTGCAAGCAGTGAAAGAGGAGGTATCCCCCTTGCTTCAGCATCTCAGCTTGGAGGCCGTTGGGTCCAGCACTTTCATTGTTTTTCAGGCCTTTGACTGCCTGGTCGACCTCAGAAAATTATGGTGGAGTGTCGAGTTCATGAATGGGCGGGATATCAGACCGTGTCTCGAGGATGAGCGGGTCTGTAGGGTTGATGTGGTTGAAGATATTATAAAAGTGCTCTGACCATCTCTCCAAGATCTTTTGGTGGTCCTTGAAAAGCGTGTTGCCATGAGAAGACCTGACCGGGGTGATGGCTCGTTTTGGTGGCCATAGAGGGCTTTGACGGCATCATAAAAAAACTCTTGGGTGTTGTTTGCGTCTGCGAGGCGGTTTTGGATCTCATCTGCGTGTTTGGACCCACCAGGTGTCCTCCAGGGCATGGAGAGCACACTGGGACTCTGCTTTGGCCTTGGAGAGGGAGCATTGGAGAGTGGCAAAGTCTCGGTCGGAAAAGACGTTTTTGTGGGCTTGGCATTTCATCTGTAGTAGTGTGTGGATGTTGGCAGCGTTCTGCTCAAATCAGTCATAGTGATGCTTTTTGGTGTACCCAGTCTGATTCGGAGGCCGCCTCTAGGATGAATGTGTGCAACTCAGTCCATGTGTTGTTTGGGTCGAGGGAGTTTGGGGGAGGTTTTTTTGTGACAACTGGATGTTTGAGAGCATTGCCGTTCCGTCTCTTATTTGGGGCCTTCCTTGGATGGCGTGGACGGATCTCAATGCGGAATTTGGCTCTGATTATATGGTAATCAGTCCAATATTCCACTCCACTCATGGCTCGGGTTACTAGCACCTCCTTGTGGTCGCACTGACGGATGATGATGTAATCTAGCAAGTGCCAGTGTTTAGAGCGGGAGTGTTGAAACGAGTTCTTGTGTTTGTGCTTAAACCGGAACAGGTTGTTCTTTGGAGCATAGGGAGAGTCGCCGCAGCCCGTTGCTATTATGCTCACCCAGCCCATGTCGGCCTAGTACACGGTCACAAATCTGGTGTTCAGAGCCCACCCTGGCATTTAAGTCTCCCATGAGGAGTAGCTTGTCGGTACGCAGTGTGTTTTTAATGGCAGTGACGAGAGCTTAATTGAAAGCCTCCTTGGCATCATTGTCTGCATCCAGTATAGGCCCATGAGCACCGATGAGTTTGGCAGAGTGCCCCCCGGCCAAGGGAATGCGCCACATCATCAGAAGCTCAATAATACCAACAGGGAATTCAGCGACGCATTAAATGATTGAGGTTTGCACAGCAAAACCCACATCTTGGAGGCGGCGAGCATCTTCTGGATCACCCTTCCAGAAGAAGGCGTAGCCCTCACAAACTTCTGCCTCTGTGAGAGAGTCTTCTCCATGTAAGAGGGTTTCACTAAGCGCTACGATGTCGATGTTGTATTCTCTGAATTCATGGGCCACGAGGACTGTCCTTCAGTGCGGTCTGTCGTTTTTTATCTTTCAGAGTCAAGGAGGGTGCGGACGTTCCATGAAGCATCGTTAAGAGGTAAACAAGTCTTGGATTTCCTTGAGTTTTCGACACTGAATGGGATGCTCCGGTGGTAACGGCTAATCACTCGGAGTGAGTGGAAGAGATAATTCTAGATTTGAAGTTTTCGTGACTGCAAGGATCCATACTCTTTGGTTCTTTTGGTAAAGTCACGTAGGAACCAAAAAACAAATAAGCAAATAAGTAAATACAAATATGCACAAAGAAATAGCTAAATAAATAAAAAACATCGACGTTTCGGACGCAACACAAGCGTCCGTCATCAGGTGGGACAACCACAGAAAAAAACAGTTGCTAAAGTAGGCAAAAGAACTGCTAGTAACAGGGGGTTATATAGATGAGGGAGGGAGGGGGGTGTAGCCAAGGATAAAGAGGGTGGGGGGGGGAAGGAAGCAAAAATGACATTAATGGCAGATAACCTGAGGAACTGGGAGCGGTAAATGACCTGCGCTGCAAGCTCGACATTCAACGGCAAATTTCCGAATGATGGGAATGAGCAGGGCTGGGTGTAAGAGACTGTAGATGCGGATATTAAGGCAAACCATAAAGCAGTTAAGGTTTTACCTGGTTAATAACATCCTTCCAATGATTGCTCAATTTGTATCCATCTTCTCGGATGAAGTTATGTCTATGTTTATATATCTAGATGACGTCATGTGTGTGTGTAGACCCACGTGGTAGTGACGTTCCCGGCATAGTGACGTCACACGTGTGCGTGTGTACACAGTAGTGATAATACAATCATTACATCACCCTCCCCCATGTAAAAAAACATCCATCCCGGCTGTGACAATACAGAAAAAACAGTCTCCAACAACAATATCAATAAATAACCGGCAACGATAATAATTACCGCGAGAACATATGTACAAATACCGAGATGGGGGAAGGGTAAAACGTATGGAACGAGGGGAACCAACAACAACACATGTTCA